AGTAGATGAACATTGGATTAAAAAATAAATCCCAGTTGGCTTGTTATGTAGGAACCTGAGTAGGGTCTTCAAACTTTTTACTCAGGTAGTTTTGCAGTTGGAAAAGAAAATAACACTAATAGTATCAGCATGTTTTAAACATGTGAAATCTGCTGAAGAACATTTTATAATTTATAGAGGTCAGGGAACACAACCACTGTGGAATATTAGCCTTGTCAACCCTAACAGCCATACAACAGACTTACAGTAAACCATGAGAGAAACCTCCTGAGGTCACCGGCAGATGGAACTGAAGAATACCACTGAGTCCAGTTCAAAGCATTCAAAAACTCTCTAGAATGATGCATTGTGTGGTTAGTAGGGCCAAAAATGTCTCAATCAGTGCACATTTCTATAAAAACAATGAAACTCTTGGTGGATATGTTCCTGAAATTTGGAATAGACTACTTGAATTTTATGATGTAACTGATGTGAAAGATTGGGAATTTGAAACTTAAATTGAATCTACTCTACCAAATAATCTTGTCTAAATTACTGGACTAAACTCAGATAACTTTGTTTTTGTCACAGTGCATAAACTCAGAGAATTATTTTTAAGAAAAATGTACAGTCAAATAATTTCTCTATCAATGTATATATCTTTTTATATGTTTACTTCATTTACTTTTTCTGGTCAAAGATAAACATTGATCTATTATGTGATACTGACCTCGCCTTAAGGCTTATGCTATTGGAATCATATATTTAAGGAAATCATCTATAAGGAAAATTATTTATTGATATAAATTTTATTCCATTTTTTCTACTAATATAAATTTTATACCATTTTTTCTCTCTTGACCAAAGGAAATTATTTAGAAAAATATTTACCTATGTTAAAATTCAGTCTTGGGTTCTGTGGTTTTTGCTAGACACACAGTCATGTAACTATCATCATATGTATGGAATACCTAACCTTTGGACCATGTTTCTTTTACTCAACAAATGTTTAAGATTCATTTATGTTGTTGCATAAATCTATAGTTATTCTTTTTTTGCTGCATAGTATTCCATTGTAAGAATGTAAAACATTCATATGCTATTAATCCTTTCATTTGTTGAAGGACTGTCAGTTATCTCAAGGTTTTGGGAATTATGAATAAAATTTCTACAAACATTTGTGCACAGGTGTTTGTGTGGATGTAGTTTTTCACTTTGCTATGGTAAATATTAAAAAGTGGGATAGTTGGGTCATACTGTAAGTGTTAGCTTTGCTTTATAAGGAGCTGCTGCTCTGTTGTACAGTTGTTTCATGTTTCATTTCCATCAGTAATGTATTAGTGTTCCACTTTCTCCAAATCTTTGTATGCATTTGGTATTACTATTGATGTTTTTTGTTTTTTGATAATAGCCATTCTAATAAGTGTATAATGGAATGTTGAGGTTTTAATTTGCATTTCTTTAATGAATAGTGATTTTAAGCATCTGTTTATCTGTTCATTCTCCATCTGTATATCCATTTTGGTGAAGTGTCTATAAAAATATTTTGTCAATTTTTATAATTTTTGATTGATGCTTTTTGTTCAGTTTTGAAAGTTTTTATTGTGGATACAAATTCTTTGTTGCAAATTGTATTCACTATCCTAATTTCTTTGCTTTTCTATTTAATTTTAGAATTGTTGAAGATATTTTGAAAAAGTCCTGTGGGATTTATCCTGGTATTACATTAAGCCTATTGCTCAATTTGAGAAGAATTCACATCTTAACAATACCAAAGTTTCAATTCCCTAATCACAATATATATTTTCATTCATTTAGATATTCTTTGATTTCTTTAATTGGTGTTTTGTAGCTTAAAACATACAGATCCTATATTTATCTATTAAGATTTATATGTATGTTTTGTGGCATTTTGGTGTTGCTGTACATTTTACTGACAAAAACTATGATTTCTGATTTTTTTCACTACTGGTATGTAGAAATATTGATTTGTGTGTAATGTGTCTGGATTTTATGAGTTTTCTAAAAATCACTCAAGGGAACATTTTTCTAGATGCTCTGAAGTATTTAATATGCCTTATTACACTGTCTGATGCTCTCAGTATATTGCTAAATAGGAATACTAAGGGGAAATATGGGGATATTTACCCTTTTTCTGATATATGGCTTGCAAGTACTTTTCCCCAAACCGTAGATTTACACAGAATTTGTACAGCCAGGAACGGTGGTGCACATCTATAATCACAATACTCTGGGAGTCTGAAGCAAGAAGATTGCAAGTTCAAGCCCAGCCTGCACAACTTAACAACTTGGCAAGACTTTTTCTTGGGATGATCAATTAAAAATGGGGTGTGTGTGCTGAGTGTGTAGTTCAGTACAAAGTTACTATGTTCATTTGTCATTAATGGACAAACACTAAAAGTCAAATGATTGAACCAACCAACAAACAAAAAGGCTCAAAAAACAAAAACCAACTCATTATCAAGAAAACAAAACTGGAGTGCAGAGGAGGAGGCTTCTGGGCCACAGTAGCACTGCACCCAGGCCAGAGGAGGAGAGCTGTGTAGGCACCAGCTCACACAAACACACACACACACACACATACACACACCATTGAAATGAGAAGACACATAAACAAGTCTCAAAACCAGACTTCCAGATCACCTACAGCAATCTCAAAGGGGAATGAGATGGAACATTCTGATACTCAACCACCTGGACTCCCTGAACTGACAACAAAAGAGAATCTGGAAAAAATGAAATCAGAAATAATTTCTCAGATAACAGCAGAAATTTTGCTCATAGTACATAGTGACCAGGAAAAGAAAAATTGCTTTAAAATTGTGGGGACCATGAGAAATCAATCCAGCAGCAGCTAGATGATGCAAAGAAGAATAACATAAGAGTGATTGGAGTCATTAAAGAAACAGGAGAGAGTGCAGATGAAATAAAAAACTGTTCACAGAAGTAATGGCAGAAAACTTGAAAGAAAAAGAAGGAAAAAGAAAAAAAGGAAAAGAACTTGACACACAAATAAGTGAGGCATATAGTACTCCAACTAGCCTGGATCAAAAAAATCTACACATAGGCATATAATTGTTAAGATTCCAGAAATCCAACAGAAGAACAAAGATCTATAAGCAGTTTAGAGAAAAGGAACAAATCACGTACAAAGGAAAGCCCATCAGAATCACAGCAGACTTCTCAGTTCAAACCCTAGAGGCAAGAAAAGCTTGCAGTGATGTATTTCAAGCCCTAAAGGAAAACAGCCTCCAACCCAGATTGATGTACCCTGCAAAACTATCTTTCAAA